AATAATAAAACTATACAAATAAAAATCAATTGCCGAATGTATGAAAGTGCAACACTTTAAAACTGCTATTTGTAATTATCTGGACAAAGTTTGTATGAAAGAAAATGTTTACAAAATTGTACTGAAAAGTGAAAAGTTTGGGTTTTCAAAATTTACAAATAAATAAAAACTGGTCAGGTGTGAGTTCAACTCACACTTCGAGGGTTCCGTATATAGATAGATAAGAAATAAAATTATCTTTATCGCTTTTTATATACGAAATAAATACCTGACAGATTATTATCGGTTTTACAATTGGTAAATTCTTATTTTGTGCCATAATTTTGGTTAAAATCTGGACCGCATAACTAAATTTAGTTTTGAAGGATTTTTGATAATTTTTTTAAAACGGTTCTAGTTTTCTGTAAAATTTATATGTATTATAAAACTATAAGAAATAATTGAGATGAGGTTATTATTTTTTCTTACATTTTCGATCACCTACAAATGAATCCCTTTTCATATGGTAGACTAGTAGGAATTTTTTTAAATTTTGAGTACCCTTTTAGAGGGAGACTTTGTACAAAAGTCGATTGCTTGGGTACCTCTGTCCCATTTGTGTTTCAACCGTGAAGCAGTTGTGTTTGCATGGCTGTGTTTCGGTTTGAAGGGTGGGATATGGCGTGAATTTATAGGGTACAGAGGAATAACACCTGAGTCCTCAGGAATGGCAACGCATGGGGGGTATCATGGGCGAGTGTACAGTACTGCTCATGTCTATAGGCGACGATTACCACTTTACATTAGGTGGGCCGCCAGCTTGTTTGCCATTCTAAGTTGCATAAAAAAAAATGTTTAGCAATGAAAATTCAATTATTTTTTCAATTATCTCTATTGCAATATGCGTGGATCAATTATATGTAAAACTATATTAAATTTCAAATCGATAGCATTAATAGTTTATTTATTTATTTATTCAAAATTTGTGTATGTTTGTTGTTTTTACATTATTTTTACCGGTACCTTTCTTGCACTAGATTACCCGCCAATTAATTATTTTCTCTCTAACTATACTGGGTTGGAAGAGATCTCTTTCAGTGATAAGTCCTCCCTTGCTAACAAGCTGTTAAACTAATCGCTATATGTATTGTTCAAGTGCAATAAAGAATATATAAACATATAGTTGCTTAGATAAATCGCTGTGATAGACTAATAGACGGATGGACAAAGATACACCATAAGTGTTTCTTTATATAATTTTGGCATGGAAACCTAAAAAGTGAGTGTGAGGGAGGATTTAGTTTTATTTTCCTTGCACTGCACACTCGTGCAAAGCTGATACGGACTGTTGGTTTGAAATAAATACTTCCGCACAAATGACAAACACTTGCCAACATGGCTATACAGTATGGAAAGAAGTATAAAATCCCCTTATTCATAAAAACGTCAAACCTCTCATAAACCTATTTGGGCTATAGAACTCTGTTGTCTCTTTCTTTTGTGCTTAATTCCTAATTTGAGAGAAAGTAACAAAAAAGTGCAATAGTTAAAATAGATTTGTAGCAGGTTTTCGTTTTTATGAATAAGAGGGAGACTACAAATGTTGTTGTTGTCGTGTATGCCCCGGCATAGAATAGGCCACTGCGTGGCAACTAATGGCAGAACCCCCTTTATGGGGGAGTCTATGTTCAGCAGTGGACAGTTAACGGCTATCATAACATACAAATGTTACAATGTGGCACTAATTAGTATCATCTATAGGTTTTATTTTCGGCGCGATTGTAACGTATGTTTTTTTAATAGGTAAATTTTTTTAATAAATATAAAATTGTGTTTACTAAATTGTTACTGCGAGTAACAATAAAATTGTTACTCGCAGTAACAATTTAGTAAACACAATTTGTAACAAGATGAATTATAGATTCGACAAAATATTTATAATCGTAGGAAAGCAATAATTATGAATTATTACTTAATTACGATACTGAAATATATTCAATACAGTTTATTTGTAGCAGAAACTAAAAAAATATCAACCATATCTGTGCTGTCGGTTCAATATGTAGAACATAAGTATTGAACATTTTAGGCTACTTATTTTTAGTGCTTTGCGAAATCTAAAATCAAATATGCAGACCTAAAATTTCCTATGCAAATTTTTGATTTATTAGAATTAAAAGTATCTATATCTAAACTGAATACTTATAGATTTTCATTGTATTAATAGTTTTAAATATAATTTTAGCTTTACTATCTAATTATGACTGGTTTCTCACTGCGTACTTTACTTCGTTAACTACAAACCATTATATTTATTTGTGTTCGTCACTAAAACGGAACATTAAATATTTTATTATACATTCTTAAGTGTTATACATAAATGAAATAATATTAATGTTTCCGTAAATCACTTGTAGTAAAGACAATAAAAGATTTGTTTCTAAGCTGAATATTTTGCATACTCACATAGAATTGTCATGTGTGTCATAAATAAATATATATTATTATTATACATGGGATATTCTTAGAACGTTTTTTTATATAGAATAAATTTATTATATAGTAAGGTACTCATACAATCTTATTTAGAATATTTCGAGTATAATATGCGTTCGTCGTATGTGCCTCCTCATAGAACGGGCTACCTCTACTTTTTCCGTGAGTGTCGTAATAGGCAACTAAAGGAAGGCGAGGGATTGGCAGCAGAGTTCCTCTTTAAACATCTTCATAGCTTCACTGCGGTTGCCAATCCGCCTGCCAAGCGTGGCAACTACTGGCAAAACCCCCCAAGGGGAAGGCTTATGTTGAGAAGTGGACAGATATAGGCTGATATGATGAAGATGATGAAGAGTCATCATGTAAATTTTTCTTAAATACCTTCGTTAACTTACAATTTTATTATATTAGTAAGGTAAGAAGTAAGAATAGAATAGGCGTGTGTTCGATTTCGAGTTTCTATTTAATTAGTCATATTAATTAAATGGATATTATTGTTTAATATTTATACTCTTACATAGCTTTATTTTAATAATTTTACGATTTGATTCGTCTCACAATTCCGTAGATGTAGGTATCTATAATAATGTGGTATTAATCGATTAGTATTCAAGACTAAATGAACTGGCCAGGAAATCAAGCACTGCTAAATCTCCGGAGTGTATAATAAATTGAATAACATAATCACAACGACAATAAATTATATTTCGCTGTAATTCGCAGTGTCAACAGAACTTATTTGTATTAGGTTTTATATAGAATTTAAATTAGAATGAGAGAATATTCACAGTTTTTAAGTGCTTTTCGTCGGAAATTTTTATAATTAAATTTTTAAATAAAAACAAAATGTAGTTAGCTAAATTAGAAGAATTTGCTAATTTAAAAGTTGGGTAGCAACTTCTGTCATTTGTTTGAAAGCCTTAATACTCGTAATTAACGTGTGACTCGTCGATCATTCAAAATCTTTATATATTTAATAAACTAGGTAAATTTTACAGTGTTCCATTATGATTACTTACGAAAATATATGTAAATTATAGGTACAAATATTTTGGAAAAATATCATGTTGCAGCATGATTAAAATAATGATTTTGCAGAATTTGTTAAAATATGCTCTGTTCTTTTAAATTCCCGTCGATGGTAAACAGTGTGATGATAAAAATTTCAACACTATTTAACATAGATACTCGTCAATAAAAAAAAAAAACTGACATATCAATATAGTTTTTAAAAAGAAGTTAAGAAATAAATTAGAAATATGAAAATAAATCAGGAAAGAGAGCAATTTGTAAGAGTCGAGAATTTTATTAGAAGATGTATGTGTGTATTTTTATTTTAACGTATGTACCGCGAAACTACATAGGAAATAGAAAATTCAATGAAATCGGTAGTGCAGCGCAATTTCATTTTATGTAGCTGCGAAATGCCATATTAAATCTAATTTTATAGATTTTCGCTCTCACGCATCTTATTTCGTTTCTGTCACGAGGAAAAAAAGGAAGCAAAAATAATAAAACATGAAAGTTGGAGTGAGATAAAGCATACAATATTTTTTTATGTATATAGACGATGTTCGTTTTATTCTGTTACTAGCCCACTGCTTTGTATGCGTGGATTTCAGAAGTAAGAAAACCAATGAAATAGATGGTTTCTAGACAACGTATAAAATATACACCGGATTTTAAGTTTGACTTTCAGGAGCACAAGTAAGACTGCATTTACTCGTAATTTGATGTAGTAGTTTTATCTTGGTCAGAAAAAAATATCCCGATAGGTAACGGTAAAACAGCGTTAATATTCATATATAGACTTGTTGTTGATTCAAATTATGAAGGTAGTTACTATCTATGATTATGTAGTTTCCTTTGGCACATATATTCCAAATATTCAAAGACTTTTCAACGTTTAACGTTTTAGAAAAATTGTCTATGTACATGTACATATAAATGTATTAACAAGCATGTGCATGATTTACTTGTCATTTTCGAATTCTATTATCTGTATTTGCTTTTACAATTTTATCTATTGAGTTATTTAATATTTTTATATTTATTATTGCAATTTAAGAAAAGAAAATTGATTGAAAATTTGTAAATATTTTTACTTTTACTAATAACGAGAAAAAATATTTTGAAGGGGCGAGGACAAAAGGCTTATTAAAAATGTGGCATCTTTGTAAAACTCTTATATCTGGAAAAAGCAATTAACAGGCATAGTGCGTCCAACCAACATGAGAGTGGAACATTCTCTTCTCTATTGAATTTAATTCCATTCATGGACTATATTGTCCCTGTGCTTGCACATTGTAATTTATATAATAAACAAACATATTTATACAATAAATAAATAATAAATAAAATAAGTATAATAATAATTACAAGAATTTTATTAAAATATATTATAACATTTTTTATTTGTTTATTACTGGTATGTTGTACACTTGACACCAGTGCACAGGTTTTCGTTGACCTTCACATCGTCGATCGTCCCTATACGCCGAGCAGACCGGTAGCTGATTTTGATACCAGTGGTGGCTCGACCGCGTCGCAACTTAGTCGTATCAGTCTGTAACTAAATGCGATCGTTCCATTTTATTTTCTGACGATGTAATAAAGTTGAATTAAAACTAACACATGACCGATTAAATAGTGATGTGGAACATTCAGTGATTTTAATTGATGATTTTATTATGCAAGACTTTAACCTTTCATTAGAAGTTTTGGAATTTTTCTCTTATCTTCAAGTTACGGAGTAAGTTTTTAAATATTATAATTAGGTGTTTAATAACTTTTACATGAATAATGAATAACCGAAAAGAGCGCATTTACTATTCGTTCAATTATTTACTTAAAAAGTTGGCAGAAAATCGATCGATCTATTCAGGGTAAATTACGATTAGTTGATTGATGTTATGTTGTTGACTTCGGTTTATTAACACGTGTTATACACAACAATGTCAATTATATTTATTACTGGTATGGTTGGTAACACGAATTTTAATTAATTTTTTTATTGCTATAATGATTCGAAGGCAGGTAGGTACATTGTTAAACTGATAGTGGTTATTATTGCAATTTCTTTATATTTAAATAATATGTATATAATTAAAAATATGTAAGTATTAAAAATATACCATAGGTAATTAAAAATGAAAATAATTCAAATTTAGAATATTTTTAAACTTACTATTCACATTTACTTTCGCGCACTTTTACCCGCACAATTCTAATACATTGTAACTATTTGACGTTATAGGCAGTGCGAAAAAATAACCGCTCGAAAATAATATACACTATCTGATAAAAAAATCTGCGCGAAAAAAAATTTTGTGAAAATTCGTACCGCGAAAATTATGTGTGAATAATTCATACTGATCCCATTTTTCGTCGACCTCCTTCGAATTGCGTCTCTTTTCATTAATGACGCTCTGTGTTTTATTAACGGTCGAGTCAATTTAGGATAAGAACTTTTTTAATCGTCTCGGTTTTGGGCGATTGCGCTTGATTTACATCGCCAAAGTATTCTGTGTTTGGTTCTCAGCAGATGGTTTATTTTTTTGTTTCTAACTTAAAATATAGCTCGACAATAGGATAGGTATACCTATAAGCAGATGAAGAAGCTAGTCCATTTTGTAAGTTTTACATATTCGCAGGTGGACGGCCTTGTATTATTTCCTAGGTATTTTAAATGACTTGTTACCAATACAATCTTTTATACAATATACATACCGCTTTATTCTTTAGGGTGGTAATGTGCAAGGGACCCCATTGACGGATTGTAGTTGTATTTTGTAACATGTATTGTGTTATTTAGGTCCAAAGGCAATAATTTTCATTTCACATCAAATAGAGCCTCAGCTTGTTTGCCCTTTATATAGACGCACTGGAACGCTACGCTCTGTTATGGGTCCAGTGCAACTGGAAGTGACCATAGACATATGAATTAATCAACTTTGCCTTTTATTAAAATAGTTTTCTAAGTTTTGTACTAACACGATATGGTTTGAAATCCAAAGCAAAGAAATTAGTAAAATAAATATATAGAGCATACTGACTGACAAATAACTGCAAAGTCAAAATTAAAGTTTAAGGAAGCACTAAGATATATATATATATATATATATATATATATATATATATATATATATATATATATATATATATATATAATGCTTCCTTAAACTTTAATTTTGACTTTGCAGTTATTTGTCAGTCAGTATGTATATATATATATATATATATATATATATATATATATATATATATATATATATATATATAAATAAATAAATGAATCGCTAAATGTGTTGTTAAGTATAAAACTCGCGAACAGCCGGAATAATTCGCCATTCTTTTCAAATATTTGGTGAAGTCTGAGAACGATCCTTATGAAGAGTAAAATGTGGAAATATTCCCCTAACGAAAAATGTGAAATCCTCATTTTATTTCTCTCTTATAAACTGTACTCAGTTCAAACATTTCAATCAAATATTAACGTCAAATAAGTCCAATAGTTTTGACAGAATGACGTCTGTCGGGTCAGCTATAAAAATATTAAAACTATTTTGACGATTTTCTCTTCCCTGTATTCTTCTCATCTATTTATTCGTATTAGGCGCCTAAAACATTCCATCATTTGATATTTATAGAAATTAATTAGGCAGTTAATTGGTTTGCTATTATTATATAATGATTATATATTGAATGTATGTTTATTTCGATTGTGAACGTTGTGTATTGCTAGTAATTACATCTAACGGTACAATTGCTAGCAATTTACGATGTAAAAATTCTCGTGGTCCTTTCTGGAATTTATCGTATTTAATTCTTAATGAAACAGTGATGGTGCGGTGGGCCAAATTATGTTCATCATCACCTATCATCTTTCAGTGGTACCTTGCCAGCGGTAAATCGATAGCCAAGGCTATCATTCCATTTTTATCGCTCAAAAAAACATTTTTTTTTTATATCACTGAGGTGACAAACAAGCATATGGCCCACTTGATGGTAAGTGGTCACCGTGTTGATCCTTTGAAATGAATATAAAGTATTGATTATAATTATTTGACGAGAAGTTAATTATTTGAGTCGAGGCAGTAAGAATACAATGTATTACTATTCCTTTTTGGTCCCTATACAGGATATCGTAACAGGGGAACTCAAGTACTTTTTACTCCTTAAAAAAAAACGACTTCAATCGTAAACTTTTCATAAATACACCGAGGAGCACCGAGATGTTTGAAATACATTGGATTAAAAATATTTGAATTTAGAACGCGAAATTGTGTATTTATAAAATAGATTTCATTTTGAAACAATTTTTTTTGACAATAGGATTTTTTTCTGCAAATAAAAACGCTAGCTTCAGTCGTATTGCATTAACTAGGGGGTAAACTCTGATATTATGGTAATGCAAAGAGCATTGCGAAAATCGGTTTAGAACTGTCGATGTATAGTCATAATGTAACCGCAAAATGAAATGATTTTGTTCTGAAAATAAAAACGCTAGCTTTAATCGTGTTGCATCAACTAGGGAGTAAACCCTGATAGGGTTATACTAATGCAAAGAGAATTGCGAAAGTCGGTTCAGAACTGTTGCATATAGTCATAAAATAGTCAAAAATTGAAAAAGGGAATCTTATTCTAGATATCGGTTGAAAAAAGAATATATCAGCTAAAGAGATGGAAAACAAGCCATCTGGTCTGCATGGTGAGGTCTCCTTACCACTTGACTAGAAACCCGCGCTCATTTGTGATGCGATGGTAATGAATTTATGTATATTCGTAAGGTTGTCTAATGGATTCATTTATTTTTGTAACAAAAAACACCTAAAGTAGAATTGGTGCCTATGATAACAATTATGTATTCATTCCTAATGAAACATAATTAACATATTTAATTGACGGATTTTACTAGATTCAAAAGCAATGTTGCAAAATTATGTGAAATTCATTAAGAATGTATGATTTTAGAGTTATTCTGATGTATAAAAAGAACAAAAAAAAGCAATTTCTAAAAATTTTAAATGTTACAAAATGGTAGTTAATATATATTTTTTAAATCAGTAAGTTAAAAAATCTGATGTTAGCCATTTTAATAGGCATATTGTAATTAGTATTGACAAGCGACTTAGTTTTCTTAGTTTAGATTGATTGATGATAAAATGTAGTCTATGGACTTTTTTAATACTACGTGTGTACTGAATTTCAGGATGGTAGAGCTGTTAAGGTACCAAAAGGTAATAAACATACTTACTATTGTGTACATAATCATCATCAGATCAGCCGTTATCCATTTCTTGCTGAACATAATACTCCATCATCCATCCTCATAACACCTATCTTCACTCATCGTCCACTGACTCTACGCAATATTTTGAGGTCCTCGCCCCATCTAGTGGGGGGTCGTCTTATACTGCGTTTGCCTATTTATTATTTATAATATTAGTGTGTATTTAGGATTTCATATTATGTTTCAGATATTTTTTTTCAGTTGATAGTTATTCCAATTTCCTGTAGGCACTGGCATGAAACGAAGAACTTCCTCCTTTTATTAATTCAATTTAAAAGTTACTTACGTAGAACTAGTTACGAGGTCACTTTTATGCATCTTTTATTAAAGGTATATAACTTTCTAACTGAGACTGCAAAAGTCAAGACGCTTTTACCTACAACCAGTATATTTTTATTTTTTTAAGAATTTTATTTGTCTGTTTTAATTTTTGTACCTGTATAATATATATCATAATGTAATATGTATATCATATTACTCAACTAAATAAAATTCTTGTTATGTGTAGAATATAAATAAATAAAATTAAATTCAATATTTACAAAACTGTGAATTTATTATTTATTACATTTTCGATTTTTTTTTTGATGGGTGAAAATGGTATGGTGACTTCGCCTGCGCTAACGGGATACGCTGGCGGGGCACCAGTGAAGGGTGATAGATGAGAATGAAAACAGGCCAGTTAGCTCATCACGATGAATTCATCAGGAATTAACTATGATAGTTTCCAGGGGGAACCGCTAGGAGGTCGACTTGGTTATGGTGGTATATTGCTAGCAATGGGACTCTCAGTCTCCATTACTAACAATCCCTTTCCCCCCTTACATTTTCGATTAAAAAAATATTTTTACAAACGTATTTATAGTATATGCAGACTAACACAAAAATAAATATAATCGAATTGAGAGACTTCTCCTTTATGATATAGGTGTAAACTTATTTTCTTTTTTTGACATGATTCTTCAGGAATACTGTTCAGTTTCATGAATATATTATGTCTTATTTATTCTTATGATTTGTTCTACTCTGACATGTCATATAAAATCATAAAGGATATCAGGCCACAAATGTACAAAGTAAAAATAAAATGTTATTTCATTGGATTATCCTACGTAAACTATAAATACATACAAGATATTGTAAAACTTTCCATTGATCTGATAGTGTATTACTAGATTTCACCCGCGACTTCGTCCGCGTGACCAGAGTATGTTTACTGAACGGGATAAAAAGTAGCTTATACATCTCCATGCCATATGTAGTATGTATATACCAAGTTCTATAGTGATTGGTTAAGCCGTTAATTTTTATAATATTAGTAAGTATCACCAGAGGAAAATTTTGTACAAAAGTCGTTTGCTTGGGCACCTCTGTCGCATTCGTGTTTCTACCGTGAAGCAGTTGTGTTTGTTTGCATGGCTGCGTTTCGATTTGAAGAGATACGTCAGTAAATTTACAGG